TCGAGCCGCCGGGGGCGGCTTAACGTACTGACGGCACTTGAGCCGCGCCGCCCCCCACAGCTCGGCGTAGCGAATGAGTTAAATGGCACATTATGCTAGATTTTCTCAAAAAAAGACTAGAATACCCAAGAAATATGTTTTTCTAAGGTGATGAGAAAAAAAAGAAATCTAGCATCAGTTTGAAACGGCAACTGACAGAGTGAAGTGGCGGTCGAAAATCCCACATGTATGTCCCACATTTTGACCCGACATGAAGTGCCAAATTCACTTCCAAAAAGTGGAATGACATGTTACAAGCTTTTATGTTCAGACTACGCCATACTCATTTCTACATCGGTTTTAGCACGTGTAGGAAGTAAAGAAATGACGTACGGGACAAAACTAGCACATTCTATTGTGACTCTCTCCCTTGACGCCGATGAATGCTTGGGGTCGTCCAGACGGGTGCCCGTGATAGGCTGTCCCGACGTTGGCAGACATTTTTTCTACTGATTTCTTTTTTCTTCTTTTTCTGTTTGTTATTTCCTTTTTCTACTGTTTATTTTTATTATTTTCATTTATTGTACGTGTACATGACTTTTGTGGCCAGTGAATTCGATAAAATGGATTATATATTTTATAACCAAATATGGTGATACTCAAGGTTTGCACCAAGGTAAAGTTACATTTCATTAAATAACTTTTTTTCAGAAGCCTTTGCTGTCTCTCTAACATTTTTAAATTCCTCTTTAAAAGACCTTTCCAATGGTATAAAATAGCACTTTGATAAAGTTCAAAATCGTGGAAAAAATTAGGAAAGTGGGAAACCTGTAGACTGTGGGTCCTCACGGTGAAACCCGCCCGTAGTTGGTCACAGTTAGTGGGCCTCTCTGACTTATTGACTGAACTGAGAGCAGGGGAATCAGAGCCCACTACAATTTCATGATAGATTAGACGTGACACTTTAGGCCTAGCAAACCTTTATCTTTTGTCCCCTCGGACTCTAGGTCGAGGAGGAGTTGCAGGGCAGCAGGCACAAGTCACAGTACCACTGGGAGGTCCAAGTTCAAAGAGTGGGTAGCGGTAGGTCTGACAGTCGGTCAACACTTTGCAGTCACACGGCCGACAGTACACAATACCCCATCTGGTCACCTAGCCAGCAGAGTCACTGCAATAGACCTCTCGGGCCTGGCATAGAGACCGGAACGGATCATTTTCACCGGCACATTATTCGCGCAAGTGACTGCAAAGTGTTAAAAAAAGGCAGGTGCTATTTGCAACGCCGCGTTCTGAATAGCTCCCGTGCTATTTGCAACGCCGCGTTCTGAATAGCTCCCGTGCTATTTGCAACACCGCGTTCTGAATAGCTCCCGTGCTATTTACCACGTCGCGTTCTGAATAGCTCCCGTGCTATTTGAAACGCCAGTACCAGAATCTAGATCTAGATCTAAGAGCCATCGTTTCAACATGATAATATTGTAGTTTGGCCTGAATTGTGGAAGCTTTCTCAGTTTCTTGATAAACCTCCGAGGAATTGAATGCTTTTTTATGACATTGTCTTATCATGATTAATATTGGGTAGATCTAGATTCTAGATTAGATCTAACAATTGTTTCTAACACTGTGTGCACAAAAGTAGACTAGATCTAGATTAGACGTAGTCATGTTCATCTCTCAATCATAAAATCATTTGAGTTTGAGTTTGAGCAAGTAAGTCGAAAGGCTTGGATAACAATAACAAGACGGAGCAACTCGGTATAAGAAGCAGTAATTCCTGTCCGCAGTGTCGTCATACAATAGATCTGTAACCTAAAATATTATCTTTAACTTTAATATACAAGATGTCTACTGTCTACGTTCTCAAAGTCTAACGTTCAGAGCTTCCAAGCCTGGCATCAAATCCCGGTCCCAGAACGTTCTTTTTTTTTTCCTTCTCCTGAGCCTAAAATAAAAATTTTAAAATGAGACACCCAGACCAAGGAAAGCCACTATTGAACTTTGACCTGGCCTAAATTGGTAAAAGGAAAAGTATAGGCTATACTAAGGCCTACTTTGTACAGAGCTCCTCTAGGGGACAAAACCAGAATGTGCATGCTTCACCACTACAAAGCATCAAGTTATAATTATGGGGAAAATTTGTTGGTCAGTCGAGAAGAGTACCAAAAAAAACCCCCCATCCATGACCGAGATCGAACCCACGCCATTTCAGACGCGCTGTCACTTCGACCATCAGAACTTCCAACAACGAAAGGTAGATCTAGATCTAGATCTAATATCTAGATTAAGCTTCATATTAACACACAGCGTTTTATTTAGCACTGGTGGTAATCGCAACGCTGCGTTGCAAATAGGCACTTCCTTAAAAAAAACAACACACAATCAAATTCAAATCGTAAGTGTTGTCAGGTATTCTAGATCTAGAGTAAAATTACCGGTTCGGTCAAAATTAGGATGAAAACAGGCACGTCGACTTTAAAGCTTTATATCTCCTCTCTGCCTTGCCCTAGAGACAAACCGAAACCAGATACAGGAATCCCTGTGATTGGATGACCCCAGGAATGACCTGTTTCAGCTTGTTCTCATATTTGAGGCCCTTACTGGGTGCAAAAGTGACGCCCGATTTATTTACAAGTTTGGTCACATTTATTTTTTTTCTCATGGATTCGGGCAGTATTTTGACATTCGGTCATTTTCAATTGTCTCATTTGTTTCTTTGCAAGCTTAAATAACATGATTTTGAATGTTTGTTATCAACACTTGGACACAATGATAGTTTGTCTAAAGTGGTATTCACCAGTTATAGCTATTTTAATGAGTATGTATCTGACCCACTCTACTACGTGGTATCTGACTCTACTACACTGGCATCTGGCTCACTCAACTACACTGGTATCTGACTGTATTACACACTGGTATCTGACTCTACTACACTGGTGTCTGACTGTATTACACACTGGTATCTGACTCTGCTACACTGATATCTGACTGTATTACACACTGGTATCTGACTCTGCTACACTGATATCTGACTGTATTACACACTGGTATCTGACTCTGCTACATTGGTGTCTGACTATTACACACTGGTATCTGACTCTGCTACACTGAATATCTGACTGTATTACACACTGGTATCTGACTTTACTACACTGGTATCTGACTGAGCTAATATGCTGTATCTGACTCTACTATTATTCAAATTATGCACAAATTCTTGATTCTTTGTTATATAACCATTGGCACTATATTATCTATGTGCCCGAAGGATGAGAAACTACGGATTTTACGTTACAATCCGGGCACCCCCCCTTTGGGAAAAAACGGCGAGACTGAGCTGCAAATTCTCTTTCATCCTTGATGGGGCCTCATCCACAACCAATGTTAACTCTTCCGGGAAAGAGCTTTACGCTGTTTTGCTCAGTTGATGAAGAAAAAGCTGTCTAAAGGACTATTTTTAGCAAAATATCGCCGTAACTGTTGTTTCAACGAAAGTTAGGGAGGTTGCTTTAGGTTTGTGTGCCACTCTTTTGGAGCTAGATCTAGATTTAAAAACAAAGTTTTAAACGATTTTTTTGTACTCCAGTGCCCGACAGCTAAAAAAAAACGGGCTGCCCGACCCGGTACGATTACTCTAGATATCTAGATCTAGATTATCTAGATATTCTAGACTCTAGATCTAGATCTAGATCTAATTCTAGATTTAGATCTAGATCTACATCTAGATCTATATCTAGATATACTTTTCAAATGAAAGTGGCTATTCTCACCCGCCCAGAAGTTCTCGCAAGATCAACTCCTCCCCTCTTCTCTCTCTCTGTCTCTTTCTGAATACTGTCTATCGGTGTGGACGATCAAATTGACCAAAACAAAGTTAAAAAATGATGTTAAAACACAAAAGTAAATTAATTTGGTTGTCTACAAAGATGCTACGGCTATTTAACTTTTCGAATCGAGCCGAACTACGCGGGTCGCCATTTTGTTTTGCCCGGAAATTCTCGCGCTACTCCTCTCTCTCTTTCTCTCTCTCTCTCCACTGCCCACAGACAAAATTGTACGCTTTTAGTAGGCTACAGTTGTAATGGAACGTTTGTTCACGGCACAGAATTCTACAATTTTTCTGTTATCACAGTGTAGAATTCTGTGGTTTAGGGTGAACGCAAAATTTGGTGAACGCGCACCAGGTGAGAATAGCCACAAGACTCGCCTGCACTATTCTCACTCCGGGTGAGAATAGAGGTGGCCTTTTCAAATAGAAGAAATGTGTATTGTTGTAAAGACAATGAGTGCACAGAACTAGAGAATGAATCTAGAATCTAGATCTAGATCTAGATCTAGAAAAAATTCCACATGATCCACCCTATCAAAGGAACTGGAGATAAGATAAAAGAATGGAGATTTGATTGGTTCATTTTCTTACTTTCACTTTAACTTTTCTTACAAACTTACTTGCAACTTGAATTTGAAGAGACTGACTTGCATGACAATGCGTTAAGTTAAGAAGTCTTCAAATAGATCTAGAGCTAGATCTAGATCTAGATCTAGATCTATTCCCCATGTTTCTTTTCCGACAAGCTTCCTTGATGCCTTCAAAAGTTAAATTACAAACCTCAGAGCTTTTATTTCCGTTGGGTCCATCTTCGAAGTGGGTTGGGCTTGTTGGGAGCTTTTCGCAACCAAAATACATGTCAAAATCACCACAAGTCCACTCAATTCCACACGCGATGCTCCCATTGTGCCACCTTTTAGCTCTGAGATAACTACACACGGGCCTTGACATTTATGACGCTCCAAACAGAACCAATCCTTCGGTTACTAGAAAAACAGCAACAACTCTCAATGGTTGTTTTCTCGGCAGCTTCTTCAAGCTTCTTAACTTGGTTGAACTGCCATGTTGTCAATAGTCAACAACGACCCGTGAACGGTAGGAAGCGAGACTTGGACGGAGACTAACTCAAAGAATAAGAGAGTTCCAAAAGATGGTGTTCAGCGGTTTCCTGAAATAGGAGAATTATTGGGGGAGGGGGCGGTGTAGATAGGAAATTTGCTAGCCTGGAGAAATTGCCCGCGGTTTTCACAATTAAAATGCCCACCACTGCTCTTCTCTCCACCCCCTCCTAATCACCACGCCAGCCTTGATAGTGGACAAGAACCATGATGTGTGTGTAGTAGAATTCTTAATATTCAAGCGTGTATACGATTATGTAGATCTAGGTAGGTTTATAATAATGTATTGTGTGATTTTTTATTTTTTTTTATTTTATTTTATTTTTTTTATT